AGATTAGGAACCAGGTTAGATTAAGAATCAAACTATCCAGGAGTACAATTCACACATTCTGAGGATCATGATTACAGAATGTAAAATAAATACAATGAATGATGCATTACCTGTGCTCTGAAAGCAAAGAACTACAACAGAAGAGATTAGTGGTAACAGTGGACACATTTCTATTGAAAATCAGTATAAAAAGGGATATTATTCAGGTTCAGTATCTTAGTTCACAAGGACTTTGTTATAGTTCACTGATGCACACAATCTATTTTTAATTAAAACTCTTTGCTGCCCAAAGCTTAGACTAATCCCTAAGAATTAGATGCAAAACAAACAAGAAAAGAGAAAAGTTACACTGGTAGATATCCCTGAAGAACAAGTCTAGGTTTTTCAGGTTATCACATTTAGCTTCAGAAATGAGGATTAATACACAGGTGGGCATTCAAGATTGTTCCACCCTAGAATAAGGTAACTGAATACTGATGGTGTCTAATTTACCTTGATTTCATCAACTATTGCAGTTACATGTAATTGAGAATTCTTGAAGCAGGTTCAAACATTAGGAATACATGTAATCATTTGATCCCTACAATTTTGGAAAAATCCATACTTCAGATCTTGAAAATAATGGACTCCAAACAATCCAGAACACTTTCAGTGTAATTTCTGGTAACTGTCGAGTGGGGACTAGTGTTATGGTTAATTGGACCTTGCATATAATTAGACAGAGGCCTGGACATTTCTCACCAGTCACTGTGTTTGACACTAATGGCCATCACAGTGGTCAATGAGCATCCCAATAATATTTGAATAAAACACCTTAGTGCCAGTAGAAAACTATCCTTCAAGAATCTGTCTGATCACTGGTCAAGATGTGCATTTCTCCTGATTTCTAGGGCTCATGCATGATAGGTGACAGGTGGTTTAATAGCTATTCCCAGGCCTACAGTAGAGGGACTGTTACCTTGAAACAATAAAACATCCTACTGAATGCCATACAGGCAATAAATCCTTCTGAGGGTCAAACAAGCATTGGAGAGGGCTTAGTCTCGACCATTTACACAAAGACTTCCGAATTGTAGACAAAATGTCCTACACTGGTGACAGAGTGAAATAAAACTTTGCCTTTACATGACAGCAGTTTTGTTTTCAGAGACTTCTAGTCAGGGCAGGTCACGCCTTTCAGTGATTCCACCCTATTTATTCTCAAGCTCAACAAGCTGATCTGTATGGCTTTCTGATGAGGTAGTAACATTGCTTGACTGAGGAAAATAATACTGTGGGGATGCATGCCTCTGTGTGAAGCCTAGCTAGCGGTCACGATTTTATCATTGAAACAAAGGGTTAGAAAGCTGCAAAGATCATCTAGACTAACCACCTGCCAGGCTGCACAATTGGTTGTGTCTAAGCCATCCAAAACAGGTGGCCATCCAGCTTCTTATTGAAAACCTTTTGTGAAAGATCTTCCACAACCTCTCTAGGCAGTCTGTTCCATGCTGCAACTGTTCTTACAGTAAGGGTGTTTTCCTGAAATTTAATCTAAATCCAATGTGCTGTAGTTTAAACCCATTGTCTCTTGTCCTTCCCTCTGTGGCAAGAGAGAACATCTTTAATATGGCAGCCTTTCAAGAATTTGAAGACTGATATCAGATCCCTGCCCCAATCTTCTCTTTTAGAAATTAAATACACACTGTTCCATCCACCGTTGTTCACGTGGCTAGATCAAGAGATGGAAGGTTCTTCTCTGGACCGTTTTCAGGTTCTCTGCGTCTTTTCTATCCACTGGTGACTGATGTTGGACACAATACTTCAGCTGAGGCCTACCCCACAATGAGGAGAATGATACTATCACCTCCTGTGACTTGCATGCTGTGCCTCGGTTAATACAAAAAGCGCAGCAAATGCAATTTTTGCATTGCTGACTCATGTGGAGGTTGTAAACCTTCGGAACTTCCAGATCCTTCTCAGCAATGCTGTTGCTGCCAAGCCAGTTATCTCTCAGTCTGTATTTGTGCATGGGTTTTTCACTTAAGAAAAAAAACAATGAGAATTCCTGCAGCACTTTAATGACTAGAAGTTTTATTTGGGTATCAGCTTTCATAGATTAAAAACCATGATGCATCCATGACTAGAAGATTTATTTGGGTATCAGCTTTCATAGATTAAAAACCATGATGCATCCACTGAAGTGGTTTTACCCACAAAAAACTTATGCCCAAATAAATCTGTCAGTCATTTAGGTGCTACAGGACTCCTCGTTGTTTGTATAGATACAAACTAACATGGCTACCCCTCCGATATTTGTCACCTTCTGTTGGTCTGTTGTTGAATTTCTTGGAGAACTAGATTATAGGCAAAAACTCATCAAGATTCCTCTGAAGAGTAGAGTTAAATTCAAAATGTTGGCAACCCCCACTAGCTTTTTGTCAGCTATATGTTTGACCAATATGCAAACTCTCATGACTGGGCTTATGAATAGGGGGAGCACTCATGGCAACATTGTCAAGAAGGTGATGGCTGCAGGGGAAGAGGCAGTGCCTGTTGGGCTCTACTCCCCACTTGGAGGTAGCTTCACTGGGGCAGATGGTGGCCCAGTTTGGTGGAAGGGGTGTGCAAGTTGAGCTGGGGAAGGGGCTGAAGTTGCAGGGGTCATGTTGCAACGTATGGCTGAGAGGGTCTGCCCAACGGGGTGAGATGTGGGAGCCCTGGCAGGCCTGGGGGACCTTTTATAGCAGGCAGGGGCCAGAGAGGCCTTGTCCCAGGGTTGTGCACATACTAGTCTGTGCTAGGTAGGGTGACTAGATAGCAAGTATGAAAAAATCAAGGCTGGGATGGAGGGCAATAGGCCCATACAAGCTGTCCCCGTTAAATTGGAACATCTGGTCATCCTAGCCTATGCTTGGTTGGGTAACGTTAAGGAAAATGCTGAGGGGAGAGCTACTTCTTCCCACTGTCTCCTGCATTCACCCCAGGATGCCTTCTGCAGCCCATCCATCAAGCTAGCCACTCACCTGCCCCCAGACAGCTGTGCATCAGGAAGGATGGGGCATGTCTGAGCTAGTGGTGCATGTTCCTAGGAGCACAGAGCCATGTCCAAAGCTGGGTGGTGAAGAGGAGCAGATGCAGCCGGGCACCCTGGGCAGGTTCCTGGCAACTTGGGGAAATGGACTTCATGCCAAGTGTATGCTGTTCAAGGCTTCAGTTTGTATCTTGTAGTGCTGCCATCTCCTGGCACTTAGCAAGGTCTCCAGCCTTGTGACAGAGGGTCAGATGCTACAGCAAGCTAGCATAGAACATATAGACTGCCTGTGTCATTTTTCAGTGGTCTCTGCTATAGGTGCACACAGCTCCTCCAATAACTTAAAAGCTTCTCCACTAAATGCAAGATGTGTGACCATACTGTGTATCTGTACTTAAAGGCTTTGTCTACACTACACGTTTTTGTGGCAGAAAATATGCTAATGAGTCATATTGATGGCATCATTAGCATATTTACTGCCATTTCTTTTTGTACAATGGGTTTTGCAGGAAAAGAAGCAGTGTAGCTGCTTCCGTGTTGCACGAGATTCTTTTGCCTGTCCTGGAGAGGCATAAGGATCTTGCGCAAAACGGGGTTTTGGCACAAAACGGAAGCGGCTATACTGCTTATTTTTCTGCAAAACCCCTTGCGCAAAAAGAAACAGCAGAAAATATGCTAATGATGTCACGATTCATGCTAATGAGTCCCTAATTAGCATATTTTCTGCCGCAAAAACGTGTAGTGTAGACATAGCCAAAGAAAGGCCCCTAAAATACAAGTTTACCCAGCATGCTGTTTTCTGTTAGGCAGGTGCTTGCTTTTTATGTCTGCATCCAGATTGTTAAGTTATATAGTGGATCCAGAACAGATCTCTGTGGAACCCTACTCGAGGCTTCCAGCCAATCAGACATTCCATTCAAAGTTACTTTTCGTTCACGGTTCTTTAACCAGTTATGTAACCACTTAAATGGTAGTTTTGCCAAGCCCACATTTCTCCACTTACGTGTCGGGTCATGTGGGACTTTGCCAAAAGCCTAGCTGAAATCCACATCCATTATGTCCACTGCATTTCCCCAGGCAGCAAATAGGTTATCCTGTCAAAAAAAGGAAATCAAACTAGTTTGGCATGATTTTTTGTTAATATATCCATGCTGGCTGCTCCTCAGGTATCCTGTCAAAAAAAGGAAATCAAGCTAGTTTGGCATGATTTTTTGTTAATATATCCATGCTGGCTGCTCCTGATTATCTCTGCATCCGACAGGTATTCACAACCTGGATGATTTATACATTGCTCTACAGATTGGACCTCCTCAGTCCAGCATCCTTGGGACCTGACATTTCTGAATGAGGGATTTTGCCCAATCAGGGAAGGTCATTTTGCCACCTCCCCCTTGTTTCCCCAGCCATGAACTCACTGCCAACCCCCCCCTCTCCTTCCCCTGTCACTGGCCCCTCAGTGCAGGGGTCCCGGCCCCACGGTGGAAACCCTGCTGCTACAAGCAGAGCCCTGTTGCTGGGTCCCAGCCCTGCAGGGCAGCTCGCTGCTGGGGTTCAGTTGCACTGCCAGGCCGCAGCCCCACTGGGCAGCTCTGCTGCCTCCCAGCCACAGTGGGCAGCTCTGGTGGGCGAGAGTGGGGCTGCTGGGCTCTTCGCTACACCACTGGGCAGGCCACTCCCGGGATACTGACCCTGTTGCCAGGCTCCCAGTCCTGCTGGGCAGCCCCACTGCTTCCTAGTCCTGCCACACTGCTGGGCTCTTGGTTATGCTGCTGGGCAACCCAGCTGCTGGGTTCCCAGCCCCACCACCAGGCAACCCCACTGCCTCATGGTCTTACTGGGTAGTTTTGCTGCCAGACAGCAGCCTCACAACTGGGCTCCAGCCCTGCTGGGCAGTCTGCTACCTCCCACCCCCAGTCTCCACCCAGTGTCACCACTGGGAGGCAGCCCAGTTGCTGGCCTCCCAGTTTTGCTGCCTCAGGGCAGTCCCAGTACTAGGCTCCAGCCCTGCTGCGGGGCTCCCAGCCACCAGCCCTCCACAGAACTATCTTGTCCTAGAACATCCCTTCCAGACCAGGGATGTTGCTGGACCAGAGAATCTCAGTTAAGAAAGGTTCAACTAGTCGTACATTTCCAACAATCAAAATCATGCTGACTGGTCTACAGTTCCCTGGCTCCTCCTCCAGTCTAAAGCTACCTCTTCTCCAGTCTTCCAGGACCTCTCTCAGGGTATGTCTACACTACAAAGTTAATTCGAACTAATGGACGTTAGTTCGAATGAACTTTGATAGGCGCTACACTAGCGCTCCGCTAGTTCGAACTTAATTCGAACTAGCGGAGCGCTTAGTTCGAACTAGGTAAACCTCATCGTACGAGGACTAAGCCTAGTTCGAACTTACTAGTTCAAATTAAGGGGTGCGTAGCCCCTTAATTCGAACTAGTGGGAGGCTAGCCCTCCCCAGCTTTCCCTGGTGGCCACTCTGGCCAACACCAGGGAAACTCGTATCCCCCCCTCCCGGCCCCGGACCGCTTAAAGGGGCACGGGCTGGCTACGGTGCCCATGCCAGGTGCAACCCTGCCAGCACCCAGCTAGCAGACCCTGCACCTGGCACGGCTCGAGCCAGCCACCCGATGCCCCCCAGCCCTCCCCCTCTTCCCGGGACTAGGCTGGCGGCTCCCGGGAGCTTGCCCGGGACTGCAAGAGGCGGGCCCCCGCCTGGTCTAGTGCGGACATCGTGGACCTCGTCCACGACCTCCGTACTAGGCACAGGAAAGTGGCCGTCTAGGGCAGAAGAGCTGCCAGCCTGGCCACCCAGGAGCGGGTGTGCATGAAAATCAAGGTGGTCCACTGAGACCCCCGACCCTGAGCTTACAATGGCCGTACTGGGACAGACCAAAGGTCCATCTAGCCCAGTAGCCTGTCTGCCGACAGCAGCCAACCCTAGAGACCCTGGAGGGGATGGACCGAAGACAGCGACCAAGCCATTTGTCTAGTGCCATCCCTCTCCAGCCTTTCACAAACTTTGGGCAGGGACACCCCTCCTATCCCCTGGCTAATACCTCTCCATGGACCCAACCTCCATGACTTTATCTCACTTCTCTTTAAACTCTGTTCTAGTTCTAGCCTTCACAGCCTCCTGCAGCAAGGAGTTCCACAGGTTGACTCTTTGCTTTGTGAAGAACAACTTTCTGTTACTAGTTTGAAGCCTGCTACCCATTCCTTTCCTTTGGTGTCCTCTAGTCCTTCTATTATGGGCACGAATGAAGAACTTTTCTTGATGCACCCTCTCCACCCCACTCATGCTTTTATAGACCTCTATCCTATCCCCCCTCAGTCTCCTCTTTTCTAAACTGAAAAGTCCCAGTCTCTTTAGCCTCTCTTCATATGGGACCTGTTCCTAACCTCTGATCATTTAAGTTGCCCTCCCCTCTCCCACCCACTCTCTTCCCCTCTCCCACCTCCTTTTCCCAGTCTCCCCGAGTTTTGTTCAATAAAGAGAGATTCTATTTTTGACCACACATTTTCTTTATTTTGTACATCAGGAAGGGGGGCTAGGGAAGGGTAAGTGGAAGGAGGTGAAGGAGGAATGGGGTACGAGCCCCCGATGGGGAGGACTGGGCTGGCTCTGCGGGCTTCTGGGGGTGGATGCTCTCCTGCAGCCCCCCAATTGCTCCCTCTCCCCAGATGACAGCCTGCGGCAAGTGCAGCCGGGCTGATGGCCGAGTGCTGTGATGTGCCCAGTGTGGGCACTCAGGGCACTCCAAGCCATGACTGCTTTGCAAGCGGGGCACCCCTGAGAACTGTCTGTCCGGGGTGGGGGTCGGGACCCTTTAAGCGCAGCCCTCGGCTAGCCTGAGACAGCAGCTCCACGCTCTAAGTCCTCCTCTGATGCCCTGCCGGCACTGCTTCCGGCCATCCTTAACCCCGGTTCAGGGTCCACTTAATGTGGACATGCTAGTTCGAATTAGCAAAATGCTAATTTGAACTAGTTTTTTAGTCTGGATCCGTTAGTTCGAATTAGCTTAGTTCGAATTAACTAATTCGAACTAAGTTACTTCGAATTAGCACTGTAGTGTAGACATACCCTCATTTACAAGTTTTGTACATAAAATTCCTTCATCTAATTTCTTCGTTACCTAGGAGTGGTTGGCATCACGCCCAACTGACTTTGTACCCAAATTGGTCAGAAGATCTGTGTTCTTTGCTTATCCTGTTCTGCATCCCTATCCCTTTATTGTCTATGATAAACTTTTCTCATCATCCGGTCACAAGAAGACTGAAGCAACGTCGGCAATGAGCAGCTCTGCTTTAACACCTCCCTCCCCCACTTGCCAGCTCACCTTCTCCACTGAGCAGTGGATCCACATTCACCCTGATCTTGTGTGTCTAATAATTTAAAAGTACCTCTAACATTCCTTATCTTGGTTTTCCTGATTGTCCCTAAGGCTGTGTCTACACTGGCCAGTTTTTCTGGAAAATCAGACGCTTTTCCGGAAGAGCTTGCCAGCTGTCTACACTGGCCGCTTGAATTTCCACAAAAGCACTGACTTCCTACTGTAAGAAATCAGTTGTTCTTGCGGAAATACTATTTTGCTCCCGTTCAGGCAAAAGTCCCTTTTGCGCAAAGCTTTTGCGCAAAAGGGCCAGTGTAGACAGCTCAGATTTGTTTTCCCACAAAAAAGCCCCGATCGCGAAAATGGTGATTGGGGCTTTTTTGCGGAAAAGCGCGTCTAGATTGGCACGGATGCTTTCCGTGCCAATCTAGACGCTCTGTTCCGAAAATGCTTTTAACGGAAAACTTTTCCATTAAAAGCATTTCCGGAAAATCATGTCAATCTAGATGCAGCCAAAATGTTTGTGCAATTGCAACGCACATTCCTTTTGGGTGGGGTGTATTGTCGCATCTAGTGACACACAGACCACCTAGAGAGACAATAATGACTCTATGCTACAGCTTCAGCTAACAGCCAGCTGGCTTTCGTCTCATGCAGCAGAGGTTCATGCATTAAGCTCCATAGGTCCCAGGTTTGATTGCACTCACAGAAGACCAGGGTCTGCTGGTGTTACACTCTTCCAAGGTATTTCCTTGGAGAAATGCCCCTCCTTCCATTTTATCTATATATCCCTTTTGGGTTTTAAGATCGCTAAAAGGCTCCATTTACAGCCACATTGGCATCCCGTGATTCTTCTGATCTTTCCTCTGCATCATAATAGCTTGATGTTGAGCCTCTAATATTACTTTTTAGGAAATGGCAGCCCTGTTCAACACCATTTTCTTCCTAAATGGTCTTTCCATGGGACCTGGCCTAGTATTTCTCAGAGTTGTTTGAAAGACATCTTTCTGAAGTCTAGTGACTTTGTTTTGCTTCTTTTATATCCTCTTTTCTGTTGGTTCTTAGAATGCTATCAGATCACAATCACTTTTCCAGGCTTTCTCAATATTCTGTGATTTTTTTACACCTTAGACCTTATTCATCTTATGTTAAAGTTTTAACTTTTTTTTCCCCAAAATGGAAGTCACTAGAGCTCTTAGTGGGAGAAAAAGCTTAAAAACTGTGAACCCTAAAGACTCAAAAACCAGATGGAAAAACTACAAGAACTTGATATTTAATATCCTATTTTTAAAGAGCCTTATTATTAGTCTGAGTCATGGTTTTAAATACTTGGGATTGGCAGTACTGTTGTTGTGAGTGAGAAATCAAGTCCTTTACATGGTGATAATCTATAGCTGAGATGTGTGTCCGGGAATACAATACTGTATACGTTTCTATTCAAGTTAAGAGTACATATAGTATAAGCATATCGAGACTAGCTCTTTTACACTTGAGGTTTGGAAAAATATTAAATGCAAGTACTTTAAAAGATGGTGTTTTATTAAACTAGAAGTTAATGTGGCTGAATCAACCCTCTTGTCAAAATCCCTCAAGTTTTGTGGGATGAAGTTAGAGTTCTATAGAAGTGATTCTCAAGATGGAGTGAATTTGATGGAGATTTACTCTTTCCAATAGGTTTTAACTGCCCCACAGAGTTTAATAGATAAGTTATAGCCTATTGGAAAGAGTAATTTTTATCAGGTCTTGATTTTTCAGAGGCACT